TGGCCATGGTTTAAGGTACAATCTGACTCTGCTCATATACTACTAATATGACAAATAACTTTAAATTAATTGTAACTCACGCCTTATGTATTTTAATAGGATTGTATTGGTGCAATAGACGGTACACACTTTATGGTTGTCCCACCTGCACATCAACAGACAGTCTACAGAGGAAGAAAACATTCGTGTACTCAAAATACAATGGCGGCGTGTAGTTTTGATATGCTATTCACTTATGTCAATACCGGATGGGAAGGATCAGCTGCTGATTCCAGAGTGTTAACTGAGATTTTAAGAAATCCAGATGACCCATTCGTGGCGCCACTCCCACCAAAATATTACGTTGTGGATTCCGGTTACAGCAACACACAATGCTTTTTGGCACCATTTCGTGGTCAGAGGTACCATATTCAACAGTTTAGAAACGGTGGCTAACCAGCGGGACCACAAGAGTTATTCAATTATTATCACTCCTCACTGCGTAATTGCATAGAGAGGTGCTTTGGGGTCTTGAAAGCAAGGTTTAAAATTCTTAAGCATATGACAAATTATTGGATGCCAAGACAAAATAGTATACCAATAGCTTGTTGTGTGATCCACAATTTAATTAAGTTGCACGCGCGAGATGATCCCCTATTTAGACAATATGAGGTCGATTTGCCCGTAGAAGATATTGAAAGAGAGGGAGAACAAGAAGGGCAACAGGAACAACAACATGGTATGGATGCACAAGAAGCAGAAACATCTGAAATGGATGGTCGGCAACAACGTAATTACATGGTTGATTTTAGGGATCATCTAGCTAATCAAATGTGGGATTCGTATAGGCGACAATAATTTAAGCTAATATATTGTAATTTCCATATTTTATTAATTATTTTATTAATTATTAGTGTTTTTATTTAGGATTCAATTATTATTTATTTAATATATTAAATACCTATTACATGTTTTCAAAAATGAAACCAAACGCATTTTCAGTTTTTTTTTAAAACTGAAATCAATCTCTAAATAAAACTACCAAACGCATTTTCAGAAATAATTCAAAAATGAAAATGAAAACGTTTTCATTTTCATTTTCGTACAGAAAACAAAAACGTTTTGGAACCAATTCCAAACGCACCCTTTGTTTTTCTAATCGTACGAAAAAAACTCTCTTTATTTTATATATGCATATCTTTTTTTTTCTTTTTTGAAAAATAAATGACTTGATTTAGAATTTTATAGAAAGTGAATTAACCATTTGCATTTTTTCTTCTAAAGAGAAAAGCATTATATCATAAGGGAATTTTTCTGGTTTTCCCTCTTTTTTTTGGGAATACCGGTATTTCATGTTTATCAACTGTCATATCTGTATTACTTTTTCAATCTGATTTAACTTTTGATCAGATTTAATACAGACTTGACGGCTTATAAACAATGAATACCGATATTCTCAAAGAAAATAAACACTAGAGAAAGTCTCATATCATAAATTAAAAAAAATAGAAAAAGTTTAAAATTTAAAAGAAAATAATTTACGCACAATTTCTAAAATCATAATTTGAAGAGGAGTCCAACAATTTACCAAAAGGCTGGAACTGAAACCCAAAGAAAGATCATACGAAAAGGAGACAACTACCTATTAAACTGATTTAGCAAAACAAAAACCACTCTTTAGACTGCATGAGTATGAATTTTTATCTTTTATTATTAATTAATATTCTTTTTAATTAAATGACTATATTAATTAAAAATAAAGGATAAAAAAACTACTCTAAGAGCATGTTTACTTTGCATCAAAGGAAAAGAGAAAGTGATAGGCGATTCTCTTTCCCATCTGTATTTACTTATAAAATTAAAAATGAAAATTTAATGGGTCCTACACAATATAGAAAATGAAAAAAGAGAATGTCAATCTTAGCACTCCCTTAGTATTGTTTCCTTCGACAAAGAGAATAAATGTTAAATTTACTGATATAGCTTAATGAATTACATTATAGTTAATGATTGTCAAATTGTATAAAAATACATTTTAGTGATTACATTCATAATATGAGAACTTCTCTAGCGTTCTTTCTTTTTTTGGAACACCGGTATTCTCTTTTTTTTAGAACACCGATGTTTTCTTCTTATCAGCTGTCAGATGTGAATTATTTTTTCAATATGATTTGACTTTTGATCATATTTAATATAAATATGACGGTTGATAAACAGGAAAAGTCGATGTTTTCAAAAAATAGAAAATACCAAAGAAATTCTCTCATAGCATTATTATTCTTAATTTTAGTAAACTTAAGAAAGAGAATGAAATTATTTTCAAGTAAACACTTTAAAAGGAAATAAATGACATTTAATCTAATTACTTTAACTTTTTTTAATTCTATTACGCATTCCATCACATTTTTTTTATAGTTCGATAAACAAGGGTCTCGTTCATTTTAACAATTTGAATTTTTAATTTTAATTTTGCTACAGTTAAACATTCTTATAAAAAATCATATTTAATTTTTTTATTATAGTTAAAAATTCTCACATAAAATTACATCTCAGCTCGACTTGAAAATTTGAATATACGTTAGTCCCGTTCATTTTATCCATTTAAGTTTAGAATTCAAATTTTGTTACAGTAAAAAATTCTCAAAAACAGTCACATTTAACTTTTTTATTATAATAAAAAACTCTCATATAAAATTATATCTCAATTTTTAATTAAAGTTTAACGTTCTCCTCTGTGAAATGATTCATCATATAGTTTACTGATCATCAGCATAATATTATATTTTAACAACAATGATCTCGCGGGGTTAATAGTTTTGTTAATCAATGAACTTTGAGCATAGTAATACTTTGGTGTTTAAACTTTTAATTTAGACATATTTATATTTTTTAACAGTTTTGATTCTTTAAAGTAAATTTGACAAATGGTTATTTCTAAAATTTAGCCTAAGTAATCACACCATTATGGCATACTAACAGAAAATTTTACATAATAATTATAAAATGTGCAAAATATTTTATTTTTTAATAAGTTTTAATAGTAATAAAAAGAAAAATTTGCATATAACATAACACTTTCTGTAAAAGTTTAAATTATCATGTGATAGACACATGTTTATCTTTATTAAATATAAAAAATTGTTCGTCAATTTTATTGTCCTAAAATTGAAAAAAAATCAAGTATTTAAAAGAAAAATTTATGTCATAATTTAAATTATGATTCATGATTCATTATAATATTTTTTTTATAAAAATTTATATAAAATAAAAATAATTTTAAATATATAAACCAAACGCTAAACGAACGCGCAGTTTCCAGTTTTCAGTTCAGGAAATAAAAGAGAGAGAATAAAAATAAAAATAGAAAGAAGTCTTGATTGGCGTGGACGGTGTTCTTGTTCCTTCTTTTTTAGTTTAGATTGAATTGAAAGACGGTCAGATTCCCAAAGGCCAAACCCAACCAACAGTGATCTAGATATGGCGGACCAACAGCCGGTTAAGGTTCGATGTCAGCGAATTGGCTGCAATGCCATGTTCTCCGATGACGACAACCTCGACGGTTCCTGTCGATACCATGATTCTGTACTCTCTCTCTCTCTCTCTCTCTCTCTCTCTCTTCTGCCATCTTCTCCGTTATGCTTTTCTCCAATCTAATAACCTATTATTAAGCCTCAATATTTTTGTACGATTCACTTTGTTTAAAGAGATAAAAAAACAAATTTATTTTTTTTGCTCTGAATTTTTCAACTGACTTATGAATTGTTTTTATTGTCTTTCGCTCTGGGGCTTGGATTGGGCTGCTTGGTGTGGGCATCTTCAATTTGTTAGGGAGTAAGTCTTATTTATGCTTTTATTCAGCTATTTCTGCAAAATGCTTTCCTTTTTTTTTTTTTCAAGTCGATATTACATCTTGTGTTTTTGTTTATTGTTTTGCTTGATAATTTCCAGCCTATTTTTCATAATGGAATGAAAGAGTGGAGTTGCTGCAAGAAGAGAAGTCATGATTTCAGCTTATTTTTACAAATTCCAGGGTAAGTCCTCTCTTCAAAGTTTGTTTAATATTTATGCCCCAGCATTGGCTATCGAGTATAGAGAGTACTTTATTAAGAAAAGAAGAAGAATCTTAAAGCTGGTTAGCTTCAATGTCGTATTTCTCGAACAGGGAATTGAGAATTACGAATTTTGCTTAGTTGGTTCAATTCTTTTTTTTTTTTTTGGAAAGTAGGTTCAATTCCTTTTATTACGATGAAGAAAAGAAAACTGTGAGAAAATGATAATTCTCATTCATTCTAACTAATTACAGAAGAGCTATATATATAGCTTGTATGCATCAGAAAAGCTCGTAAAATAAGAAAACAAATTCTGTTAAGTATAACAAACTACATGACAGCTCAGCAAGATTAACAAACTATTATTACCTTGGTTATACTTAAATTAACAAACTTAATACGCCCCCTCAAGATGGACCATGAATATCCTTGATGGCCATCTTGCATAAGAAAGAATGGAGCAACGACCAAGACAAAGCTTTAGTGAAGGGATTAGCAAGTTGATGCTGAGATCGAATTAGCATGAGCTTCACCAGACCTTTAGTAACCATATCACGAACAAAATGACAATAATATGTTTAGTCCGCTCATGAAAAATAGGATTGGAAGCAATATGAATTGCAGCCTGATTGTCACAAAAGAGGACTGTAGGAGAAGACAAATCCAGGCGAAAATATGATAATAGCTGTCTTAGCCAGATCAATTCACTTACTGTGGATGCCAATGCCCTGTACTCAACTTCAGCCGGAGATCGAGAAACCGTAGTTTGCTTCTTGGACTTCCAAGAAGCTAGAGAATCACCCACAAAAACAGAAAAACCAGTCACAGACTTTCTAGAATCTTTGCACGAACTCTAATCTGCATCAGAAAAAGCCTTCAATTGAACTGGTGAAGTGGCAGAGTAAAAGAGACCTTGTCCTGGACTTGCTTTGATGTAGCAAAGCAAATGATGAACTGCTTGCAAATGTGGCGCTCGTGGTTTTGCTAAATATTGACTTAACTTGTGAAGCACAAAAGTAATATCAGGACGAGTTATAGTGAGATATAGCAGCCGGCCAATCAACCTTCTATACCGAGAAGTATCAGATAAAAGAACACCCTCATTAGCACATAGCTGAACCTTTGCATCCATTGGCACGGTTTACAAGCAAGAAAGCCTGAATCTTCAAGTAACTGCAAAGCATAATGTCTTTGGGAAAGCACAATCCTAACAGCAGACCTAGCTATCTCGAGACCAAGAAAAAACTTCAGAAGGCCTAAATCTTTGAGCTTGAATTGACTATGAAGGAACCTTTTTAAGTGATCAATGACCTCAAAGTTTGGTCCAGTGATGATGATATCATCAACATAAACCAGTAAGGCAATGAAAGAATTACCATCTCCCATAGTGAATAGAGAATAGTCTGATTTGGATTGTACAAAACCAAATTTGATCAAAGCACAAGCAAACTTAGAATTCCATTGTCACGAACCTTATTTAAGGCCATATATGGACTTGTTGAGTTTGCAAACCAACCTGTCACCATTAGAAACTTTCGCCCCCTGATTACCATATCTAAGAGGAAGATCCATGTAAACTTCCTCAAACAAATCACCGTCGAGGAAAGCATTATTAACATCTAGTTGAGATAAATGCCATTTCTGACTCTCAGCTAAAGCCAATAGAACTTTTACCATGACTAACTTAGCCACAGGAGAAAAGGTCTCAAAAAAATCAACTCCCTCATGTTGTGTAAAACCTTTGGCCACTAAACGAGCCTTAAACTTGTCAATCGAACCATCAGGCTTATGCTTAATTTTATACACCCATTTACAACCAATGGAATGTTTTCCTTTAGGCAATGGAACAATCTGCCAAGTATGATTCGCCTCCATAGCCGTTAATTCATCTTTCATGGCATCCTTCCATACAGCATGCTTAATTGCTTGATGATAAAACTGAGGCTCTATAGTAGAAGAAACACTCATAACAAACTGCCTATGAGAAGTGGAAAGCTTGCTATAATCAAGCACCTTGGACAAAGGATAAAGAACCGTGGATGAAGAATCAAACTCTAAATTATTACAATGAAAATCTCTAAGATAAGAAGGAGGCTGAACAAGTCTGCTAGATCTTCTTAAAGACAAATCAGGTACCTCAGAAACCATTGGCAACTGAGTATCTTCAGTAGAACCAAAATCAGAGATTCCAGGAGAAACCTCATGATGATTGTTAACAGAAGAATTAGGCAAGACTAAGTCAGGAAAAGGATTGTATCATTAGATCCTATAGAGTGAAAGGGAAAAATCTCCTCCTGAAAAACCACATCCCTAGAGATAAAAATTTCCCTAGATTGTAAATCCAGTAATCTATATCCTTTAACACCGAGTGGGTAGCCTAGAAAAACACATGCGCGTGCTCTAGGCTGAAATTTTGTTCGATGAGCCACTAAGTGTAGATGCAAAAACTAAACATCCAAAAACTCGAAAAATAGAGTAATCAACCATATTGGCATATAATAACTCATAAGGAGTTTTATTAAGTAACAAGGGTGAAGGAGTTCTGTTTATCAGAAAAGTGACAGTAAGAATACACTCACCCCAAAACTTGATTGGCACTCTTGACTGGAAGAATAGAGCCTGGGCAACATTCAGTAGATGTTGATGTTTCTGTCCAACAACAGAATTTTGTTGTGGTGTGTCCACAGAAAAAAACTGATGTAGTATCCCAAGTCTGTCAAATAATTCAGTAAATGCCAACTCTCGAGCATTATATGTCCTAAACTTCTTGATTGTAGCATTAAACTGAGTCGGTACCATATTGCAAAACTTAGGAACTATAGAAAGTACATCAGACTTTTGTTTGAGTAGATAGACCCATGTAAAACGAGTGCAATCATCAACCAAGGTTAAAAAATATCTATAACCAGCATGTGAAGAAACATGATATGCACCCCAGATATCACAGTGCGCCAAATCAAAAGCAGAAGCAGATAAATGATTATGAGAATCAAAGATAATCTGCGTTGTTTAGCTAATGGACAAACATAGCAGGGACCATCATTATTAATCTTGGAAGCATCAACATTCAATAGTTTCTGCAAACATACAAATTGTTTAAAAGACAAATGGCCAAGTCTAACATGTCAAATCTTGGCGGTGACATTATTAACAAACAAATGAGAACCAGAATTTAAATCTGTAGACAGCAAACCACAGTTATTAGCATCCAGAACATATAAACCATCCAGCCTATCACCCCTGCCAATCATCTTCTTGGTGCTGATATCCTGAATCACACAAAGGAATCAGACATGAAATTCAAAGTCACCTTTGTATCAGCAGTCAGTGCACTCGCTGAAATTAAATTGAATCTAAACTGTGGCACAAAGAGCACATCTTTAAGCAATATCTTCGAACTTATTCTCACATCTCCATACATAGAAATAGGAATACTAGTATGATTAGGCAGCTTAACACTAGAGTTCTGTATAGGTTTCAAGAACATTAAAAACTCAGCCTTTGAACATATATGTCGTGAAGCTCCAGAATCAACGATGCAATGCTTTGAAATGGATAAAACAGTATTCAAAGCTACTGATGAATAAGTACCTGTGACACAAGTAACATTCGAAGTTTCAGGTTGATCATTAGACACCTTAGTGGACTGTGCCAGCTGATTGGATAGCAAGGTCAGCAATTGGTGACATTGAGCAGGACTCAACTGCTGAAGCAAGATGCTAGAATTCTGTGTATCCACCTTAACCTCATTTCTTGAAACTTGATGTACAGAATTATGTTGTTGCTCACCATATTGTTGCTTTGGCTTGTATCCTGGAGGATAGCATGAAGCTTGTAGCACCTATCAATCGTATGGCCACGAAAATTGCAGTGTGTACACAATAGCCTCTCCTTCTTATAAAACTTTGAGCCTCCATTGCCTTGAGCACTAGACTTCTCATACTTATGTTCATCAGATTTGGCAGCAAATGCCATAGTATTGGTAATGTCAGAACTAGCAGTACTACCAATAGATCTTTGACGTTCCTCTTGAGCAGCAAATGCAAAACCCTTATTAATGGGAGGCAGAGGATCCATGAGCAGCAACTGACCTCTAATTTGAGAGTACGAGTCATTCAATCCCATGAGAAATGACATCATGTACACCATTTGATAATGTGCATTAAGACTTCGCACTCCACCACAGGTACATTTTCTGCAAGAACAAGAAGGACGAAAGTTGCTCAACTCATCCCATACTGTTTTCAACTTTGTAAAATATACACTAATTGAATTTTGATCTTGCATCAGATTCACCAGCTCGCGATGTAGTTGAAAAATTCGCGGACCATTACTTTGCTGAAACCTATCCCTCAAATCCAGCCAAATCTCGTGTGCAGATTTAGAGAAAATCACACTAGCAAATATCTCCTTAGAAACTAAATTCAAGATCCATGAAATCACTATGTTATTGTTCCTACTCCAAAAAGTTAACATATTAGAATCATTTTCGTTTGGCTTCGTTATAGATCCATCAATAAACCCTAACTTGTTCTTAACAGAGAGAGCAATCAACATGGCTCGACTCCACGAAGCATAATTGTCCCCTGTAAGAGCTTGAGAAACTAGAATCAAACCTGGACCATCCGAATGATGCAGAAAGTAAGGACTTGAAGGATCGTCAATGGCAGACTTGCCATTATCAGCTTTGGAATTCGCCATCGAAACAAAACAGAAACAAAACGAAGAAACGATGATTGAACGGAGAAAACGATGATCAACCGAATAGACAATTGAACAAATCAATCGAAAAACAATTAAAACGGAAACTGAAATCAATCAGAAAAGCGAAGCGTATTTTCGCTCTGATACCATATTACGATGAAGAAAAGAAAACTGTGAGAAAATGATAATTCTCATTCATTCCAACTAATTACAGAAGAGCTATATATATAGCTTGTATGCATAAAAAAAGCTCATAAAACAAGAAAACAACTTCTGTTAAGTATAACAAACTACATGACAGCTCAGCAAGACTAACAAACTATTATTACATTGGTTATACTTAAATTAACAAACTTAATACCTTTTGAGCCATATTTTATTGTCAGTAAAATTGTGGGATTTTTATGACCAAATTGTAGCATTCCATAAACGTATACAAAAGTTCTATGTTTTAATATTATAGATTGCTCATATGTTTGCATTTGATAAACACACTTGGATCACAAGGACCCTAAAATTATGTGTTTTCTTTTTTTTTTGGTGGATGAAGATGTAAAACCGGGAAGCACACAACGGAGAAACCCGTGTTGGCAAAACCAGTGGCTAGTCCGAAGATTCCGGTTTCTTCTAATAATTCAGCTCCGGCTGCAACTAGTGCACCATCAAAAGAGTCTTGCTCTAGATGCCGGCAAGGTTTCTTCTGCTCGGATCATGGTAATCTCATTTATCCGCTTTGTGCTTTAAGCATTTGAACACTGTTAATCTTTCGTTCCTATTGTGTCTTGGTTATTGTTTCAGTATTTCTTATCTAAGAAGATGCAAATTAATACTCTTGATAGTGTATATTTATACAATGAGGTTGTGGATGGTTATGTTTGAGTATTTTCTTAGCAGTGTCCGACTCTTCATCAGTTTTGGAACTTAAAACCTACTCTCTTTTCCTTCCCCTCAGGTTCACAAGCCAAAGTAATAAATCCGAAACCTGTAGATCCAGCCGAAAACAATACAGAAGCTCAGGATTTCCCCGCTCCCACAACAAAGATTGTGGATATAAACCAGCCCCAAACCTGCAAAAACAAAGGATGTGGGAAAGCTTTCAAAGAAAAGGATAATCACGATTCTGCCTGCAGTTACCATCCCGGGCCTGCTGTTTTCCATGACCGAATGAGAGGGGTGTGTATATGTATACCTAAACTACTAAACCTACTTTAAACTTCCATTTGTTTATTATTCTACTTATGGAGTATAGGTTTTAACAACTTTCTTTTGTTCTCGTCTTTTATGTCAAAAATTGCAGTGGAAATGTTGCGACATTCATGTTACGGAATTCGACGAGTTCATGGCCACTCCTCCTTGCACGAAGGGTTGGCACAATGCGGATGCCTCATGACGAAAACGGCAAGTTTTTAGAGCAAAGGATATATATCTTCAGCTATTGCTCTTTTCATAGTTTGAACTCCTGAATGTTGTCTTTCCTTTTCCTTTTAAGTTGTGATTTTATTTATTTATTTTTTTTTTTGCTCTGACTCTAAGTTATGAATTTCGAAACCTGTATTTCTCGGCAAGTTATTCCATTATTCATGAGGAAGAATTTGAATCATTAAAGGCCCGTTTGTTTCATCTATTCAAACTCAAATAATTGATTCTGTTACATTGTTTTTCTATAAAAAAAAAATTTGAATTTCAAATGTCAGAATCAAGAAGAGTATATCTTCTAAACGGGCTGGTGCAAATTGTTATGTGGGAAAAGTCCTTGGTTCTTAGAGTGTGTTGGAATATTTGGAGTTTGGAATTCATGAAAGAGAACTTAATCCACCCAACTATAATTCTAACCTTCTAGAGGCTTGTGTCTCTGAGTTCAACCTCTTTTCTTTCTTTATTATTATTATTTTTATTTTTTATTTTTTTTTTTGCAGAAAGCAGTTCAACGTTTAATCTGATTCCCCTCTAACGGTGCCGTCTGGTGGAAAGACTATTATATTTTAGTAATGAGATTTCTGGATTGACTAGTTAATATTTAAGAAAAAATAATAAAATAAAAACCTTTAATCGGCTTTATATTGGTTTAACACAAGCATATTGAAATACTCCACAAAATATTATTTGAACATAATTATATATTAGTGTCTTAACCAATCGAAAACATTATATAAACACACATAATTGAGTATTTTTTGGACTCTCCAATGAGGGGTCAATTAACATTGCTCCTATAGTTACATAGAGAAAAATTACTCCTGTTTTGTTCCTTTCGAACTCATCAGTTTCAACATTTAAAATGTCAAAACTAAAACGAAAATAAATCGTAGCCCTCACTTTCTTCTATTATTTCCTTTTCCTCTCTTTCTTCCATTGTGGCTGTGATCTCTCCAACCCTTCCCGTGCATCGGCGTCTGATGCTCTCCTCTTTCCCCAAGCTGCGTTTTTTCTTTCTTCAAACCAATGGTTTACTCAGAAGTAAGCTAGTTGTTTACTCCAATTCTGTGTTAGTTGTAGCAATTTATTTAAGTTTCTCTATTAAAACACTAGTTTATTAAAAAATAGACTAGTTGTATACTTTAATCTCTCTCTCTCTTTTTGACAGGATAATCTTAACAACTATTTCTTAAAAGTGCATGAGTCAGAATTTTTATTTTTTACTCTTAATTCATAACTTTTTTAATTAAATAATTACACTAATAAAAAAATATTTATTAAAATTAAAAGATAAAAATTTAGATTCATACACGGATAAATTCTCCATTTTTTCTTTTTAAACATGGTAGATATTAAGGTTAGTTTTTTCCCTGTGCTGCAAAAATCGATCTATACCCAAAAGGACATCTCCCCTAATAACCTCGTTGTCAATGGCAACGTGTGATGTCCGGTTTTGGGCCGCAACAATTGCCCAGAAGTTATTGGCCTAGATTGATTCAGTTGGCCATGCCTCTGTCTGTGTGATCTCATTTAAGAGAATCATATTTAAAAATTAGTTAGTGATAATCAACAAATATTTATTTATTAATTTCTTATAATAAGATTTTTTGGTACGCTTGACATACTGATAGATTATGTACAGAGGTTCACAAGTCAAGTAACAGATCCAATTTCTGTAGAGCTATTTTAACCGTTAAATTTATTTATTTTTTAATTTTTATGTGATTTTATATAAATTTAACGGATAAAAAACTTAACTTATTAATAGATTAGCCTACCGAAAAAAGTACTTTTATTATAATCCTGTCACCCGGAAGAATTATTTTTTGAGGCACCATGGAAAGGGCAACCTGCAAATTGGAAGGGTCTGCCCCTGCATGCAAATAGAATTATTGCTTTTTAAAAAAATAAAAAATAAAAAAGACACCAATTACTGCTTTTGAATTATTCGAAGTGATCATTTTCAATTCTTTTGAATACAAAGCAGGGGAATAAAGCACCCGAATTCAATAATAGACTGAAAGCGCCGTCGGAACCAGTGTAGTAGTAAATGCGTTTGGAGTTAATAGCCTGTGTAAAGTATAAACAATCAAATAAAATTTTTCAATATTGCTATTTGGACATTGAAGAAGATTTGTACTAAAAACCGCTTTAAATTTTATTAATGATTTGGGGGGCATAACCATTAGTTTTATAATTGTCTGGTGTGAAAATGAAACATTAAAGTAGGTTCAATATCATGCCGTGCCAACTGCCAAGTGATCCTTACTGATTGTTTAGTTGGGGATTCGTACCCTGATTTGAATCATGTTTCGTGGTCTATTACAGTATTTTTTTTTATAAAAAATACACATAAATTAAAAATAATTCTAATATCATAATTCTAATCCATGAACTAAACGTCTCATAACTTCAACATCCAACAAAATCAAACGCCATAAAGCTAATATCCTTAAAAAAGAATTCTCATCATAATTGCTCTATATGGCAGTAGATATGAGCAAAAGGGTATACCGTGTGGAGATTTATCATTATTTATTGTTATTATTATTATTATTATTATTATTGGCATCACTATTATTATTATTAGTGGACTTTAGTATAAAGAATTTGAATAAGGTAAGGTAGTATGAGAGGGGTTAGTTGTCACGGGTCCTATGATGGGTACTATCAATTTTGCCTTTATAACTTAACCAGAAACTGTGGGTCCCTAATCATTCCTTTCGACCTTTACATTGCAGTTCAATTTGAAGAATTGCTTCTATATCTTGTCTTTGACTAGTTTGACACCCTCTTGGCGTCATACTCCATCTCTAATCTCTCTGCCCATTTGTGTCTTATTTGTTGCAAAATAAAAATTTTTGGTTGGGAAATTTATCCCCTGATTTGAATTATAGTTCATAGTTTGTTATAATATTTTTTTTTATAAAAAATACACGTAAATCAAAAATAGTTCTAATCACATAGTTCTAATACATAAACCAAACATATTCTTAGAAAGGCATATTTACATATGAAGAAAGTAATTTTGTTTCACTGGTAGAGCTTTTATTGTTATAATAGTTTTTTAATAGTCCAATTTGAAGTATAGACAATGTGCGTGAAAATTTTTTATGCGGACATGTGTAAATCTATTCGGTAAAAGATCAATTTAACAGTTAAAAATAACAATTCTTATAATGGAGCAAAAATACATATTCTATCATAAATATTCTCCACTTAAAAATAATACATTTATTAATTAAAAGGGAAATTTTTTGGTACATCAGTATATGGATATGTCATGTTTTTTTAATCGTTAAATTTGCATATTTTTTAATTTTTATGTAAATTCAACGGTTAAAAAAACTTGATCTATCGGTATATTAGCGTACTAAATAAAGCTTTGTTTTTTTTTTTTTTCCTTAAACTTTTCGTTTTAAGAGTTCTTATAAATTTAGAAGTTTGGGTAACACCGTAAACTTATCAAATGCATTCCAATTAATAACACCGATATGTGAGCCATACGTTTTTTTTTTTATATATTTTATCCTCTCAATTTTTGTTGCTTTGGTAAATTGTTCTGTGAGCTTCTATAATTTTGGCACTTAATGTTAATATTAATTGTATATTTATTATAAAAAAGTGTGATATAGTATGTTATTTTTATTCTTACTCAAATGTATAATGTTATTTGAGATGCTAAATTTACTTTTTTCATAATTATTAAGTTTTAAAAATTGTATAAATAAATTTTTATGTTTAAAATAATTAGAAAATGTAAAAGTTGCATTGATTACGTGAAAAACTAAAAACATTTCAACCAATAAAAATCAAATATCAAATTTCTCATATGTTATACTTTGTGATAAATTTGTCATAAAGTATAGCATATGAAAATTTTGACAAAATAGATGGCATTGCATTAGAGAGTATTTTTTACACTTAAATATTAAATTTACAATTAATACGTTAATTATAGCATTATATTGATGATACTCTTACGTAAATAATTTTGTCGGTGTTATTAATTTGGGACATAGTTGGCATGACTAACAAAATTAAGATTTATAAGTATAATTTTTAAAAGTATGAAAAGATCAGTTTGCATTATTGATTGAAATACTATAATGCATTATTAAGATAATGTAGCCAACACTCAACCCTCAGTAATTAACCATTGCATTGTCGGCTTATAAGAGACAAATAAAAAAGAAAGAGAAACCAGAATCTTACTTATCGTTACACGGCATTCTGTTTGTCCCAGGGAAATAGGAATAAAATAATCAACTACCAAAATTTCATTATTAAACACAAAACTAAAATAAAAGTTTTTGCAATAAAGGTGTGAAAGATTACTCTACTAATAAATAGATACATTTTGTAATGATTAGATTTATATCAAAATAATATTCAATTAAAAAGTAACAATAGTTTATCTATTGAAATTTACCAATTTTACAATAAGACATGAATTTGACTATTATATTTATTATTTATTAAAAAAATAATTTTATGATGAGAAATAAGTTCTAATTATAATTTGATCGTCATAATATAAACATTATGTAATTTGATCATTTTTTATTATAAATAAAAAAACAGTCAATAAAAAGTATAAAGGATAAAGTACATAAATGTAAATAAAAACCAAAACATTTTTTTTTTAATTCTAAGTAAGAAGAAATAGTGGATAACAAGTAAAAATAAATAAAAAAATGAAAAAATAAAGGGCATAAATAGAAACAAAATTTAAATTGCTTTTTTCTTAAATTGTAAGTCACAGAAAATGATAGATAATAAGTAAGTAAAAAGTACAAAAGATAAAGAATATAAATGTAAAAAAAAAATGAAAGGTGTAATAGAAACACCAATTAAAATGTTTTTTTTTAAACTCTAAATAAGAGAAAATAGTAAATAATAAGTGAGTTAAAAGTATAAAAAGTGAAAGGTATAAATAATAAAAATTAACTATCTTTTTTTTTTAAGTTCGAAGTAAGAGAAAAAAATAGATAATAAATAAGTAAAAAGTAGAAAAATGTGAAAGGTATAAATGAAAAAATAATAATTGACAGTTGCAATAAGAGACAAAATAATATATAAAAGACAAACATACAAGAAAATAAAAACTGAAAAAAGGTAAAAATGAAAAAAAAATTATGACAATTGCGTGTTTTAAGAGGCTTTTATTATTTA